ATATACCAATATAAACCAAGAAAAACATAAGCAAGAAAATATAGTGCAAAAAGGAGAAAAAGAGGGAGAGGGGGATGGATAGATAGATAGATAGATAGATAGATAGGTAGGTAGGTAGGTAGGTAGATAGGTAGGTGGATGGATGGATGGATGGATGGATCTTCTCTCTTCATCAAGAATAAATCTAAACATTTTTCTTTTCTTTTCTCTTTTTGATATATGTTGTTCTAGGTAACCCCTCTCCCCTCCGTATGGAAGCACGTGTTCGGGATGTCTGTGTGTGAAGAGTTTTTAGACTTTCACCATTCAATTTCTGTATTTTTTGAATTTGCAAAATATTTGAAGTTTATCTCTATCAATTTTTTTGTATAATCTTGGATTGACATACGGAGGAAAACATACCTTCTTCATTCTTTGTTCCCTGTCAGATTAAAATGGCTGAACAGTGGCCAAAATGAAAGAAAGGAGGGCGGGGGAATATGCAGCTCCTAGCTGAATTTCTCTTTATCATCTCTTGATGAGATTATAATGGTTTTGCAGTAAGTCTTTATACAGTAAGTCTAAGCATTTCTAATAGTTTAAAACCTTCTCTAATATTTCTAACAATATTCTCTTCATCCCATATCTCATCTTTATATATTGACAAGTAATAAAGCCTCATCTTTCAATCTTAAATCGGCAAATCCATTAAGAGCTACTGGAAATAACAGTATATATTTTTAACTTTAAACAAGTAAATCAATTTCATAATTCTTTTCCTTTACATGTTACTTTAATACTTACTCTAAAATATATATGTAAACAAAATTCTTCCTCCCGTGTCTATAAACAAATCTTTAAAACTTCATATATCAAAGTTAATCAAGAAAAATTCCATTAAGAGCCACTCGAAAGAACAAATTGAAAATATCTTTAATCCCTTCAAATAATATCCCACAAATTAATTTCTGATCATCTTCTCTTCATCTCCTCTCAGCTATAACATCATAGTTTATCACTTTCTCTATGAATAGAACAAAACTCTTTTTTTCCCATATCTTATCTATAAACAAATCTTTAAAGCCTCATTCACTCCGTCTCAAAGAAAACCCATTAAAACTGTTAGGAAAAAAAGAGGGTAATATACAGTTTAACCTTGATCAAATAGGCCCCCACTTTGTAAATTTTTGTTTTAAGGGTTTTAATTATTCCTTTTAGGTAATATCCTAAAAGCTGGTTTCTTGTTTCTTTTTTTTTTCTACTGAATTGCTTCATAGGTATAACACATCTTTTCTTTAATCCAAAGTAAGCAAATTATCAAAATCACTTTTTTGAGTTAAAATCCACATATCTAAGTCATTAATCCGGTTTATTATTTTCATGTCCTTTTTGACTATGGAAATCTCAGCCAGCTTCATTTGTTCGGCATTGTCAATATGCACGTAACCTGTTAGATTTAAATCCATATTCAAAACACTTTGATATTCAGCTAGATCCCTTCTATCTCTTCTTTTAAGCCATTTTTATTGTATCAGACAGTCTAAAGCAGGGGTGTCAAACTCAATTTCACTGAGGGCCGCATCAGCATTGCGGTTGCCCTGGGAGGGGCAGGTGGGTGTGGCCAGAGTGGGTGCAGCCTACTGGGTGGGCGTGGATGGAGTGGGTGTGGCCTACTGGGTGGGCGTGGCCAATTCTACATCATTCACGTCAAGAATGCCTGGGCAGGAGTGGGACAGATCTGAGGGTCTCTGGCAGAAGGGGGTGGGACCGGGGCAAGTGCCAAGGCATGGTCCACTGGGGCAAATGCCAAGATGACCACCACAAAATTGTACATTGGCTCCCGACTGGCCTGGGCCAGGGCCAAGGCAGCGGGGGCCATTTCCTCACTGTTTTCAGGATGGCTTCGCGGGCCACATGAAACCACTTCGCGGGCTGCATCCGGCCCCCGGGGCCTTGTGTTTGACATGTCTGGTCTAAAGAGTAACTTCTGAGTACATTGTTGCCAAATATTCTTCCAGAGTTAATATATTTTTTCTCCATTCTTTATTAATGGAAGTTCCCTTTTAATTATAATCTTTCTGGTTGCCTCTCGTAACCCACCTTCAAGGTCTGTTCTTATCATGTTGTGTTCTCAAACAGAACATTCATTTCCCAGAAAGAGGTTTCTGACTCTTAAAGCTCAGATCTTCATATATTTTAATAGGATTTTAAACAAACAGCAGGAAATATTCTTAAGACTTTTTCAAAATCTTGTTTCCAGTCAGTCTGGCCCCCAAGTCCATTTAAAAGCTTTCCAAAATCAACATTCTAATCACCCTTTTACTGCTTCTTTCCAAATTTTTTAAAAAAAAAAAGTTTTTAAGTTTTCAAATTTACATAAATCTTCTTTCATTGCCGGGTTGGAGGAAAATCACCCAGTGTAATAAAACCTGTCTTTCTGGAGGTTCTTAAAAGGTCAAAAAAGCAATTTATAGGCTATTTCAAATAAAAGCGATTAAAAGGCAAGATAGCCAAACCCAGTATGCTTATGAAAGGCTCCAACTGAGGCTTAGGCCAGGGGTCTCCAACTTTAAGACTTGTGGACCCTTCAACTCCCAGAATTCCCCAGCCAGCGTTGCCAGCATTGCCGGCTAAGGAATCCTGGGAGTTGAAGTCCACAAGTCTTAGAGTTGCCAAGTTTGGAGAACCCTCGCTTAGGCAAAGTTCCCACTTTCAACCCCAATCATCTGCTGTGCTAAAACTAAAGCCATCTTAATCCGTCATCTTTCTCCGGAAGTCTCCCGGAGCCATCACTTTTCCATACACTGATGGGTTCACATGTTGTACCAAGCCTTGTTGTCTCTTGCAAGCTCAGTTGGTGAGATTCACATAAATCACAGCTCACAGTTATAGACCATAGGTTCAGTTAACTCGAGATGCTTAAGCCAAACCGAACCAAACTCTGATTTTGGTTTCCTGCACTGTGTTTGAATCCAGTTGGTTTGGCTCCCAATCGTTTATTTTTTTGAGAAATCCTTCCCTAAAAGAATCCTTACATGGGTAATTTTGGAATACGTATTCATCAGGGGAAATGTCAGCCAATGGCCAGCTCACTTACAAGGCCCGATAATCATTTTTTACCATGTTTTTCATTCTTTAAATAGAATAACAGAATTGGAAGGGATCTTCTAGTCCAGGGGCAGGCAACCTTGGCTCTTTTATGACTTGTGGACTTCAACTCCCAGAATTCCTGAGCCAGCCATGCTGAGGGAAAAGGGAGAGGTTTCCAAGCTGAGCCATGCTGACTCAGGAATTCTGGGAGTTGAAGTCCATGAGTCATGAAAGAGCCAAGGTTGCCTACTCCTGTTCTAGTCCAGTGATGGCGAACCTTTTAGAGACCGAGTGCCCAAACTGCAACTCAAAACCCACTTACAGTATGCATCGTTGGGTGCCGGGTGGGTGTGGCCCATTGGCTGGGTGTGGCCCATTGGCTGGGCGTGGCTGTGGTGGTAACAGCAGACTGGGGGGGGGGGACTAAAAAGTTCAATCAATCAATTCCAACTTTGCAAGATCTTTTTTTTTCCCGTAAGAAGTTGAAATTGACTGATTGATTGAACCTTTTTTTTTTTTTTTGCACACGGCGGCGGAGGCCTAAAGCGAAAAGGTTTTATAAAACCCAGATGAAGGCCTAGGATGGGGGCGATGGCGCGCATGCCCACAGAGAGGGCTCTGAGTGCCACCTCTGGCACCCGTGCCATAGGTTCACCACCACTGTTCTAGTCCAACCCCCTGCTTGAACGGAAGACCCTATGCCATTTTAAACAAGTGGCTGCCCAGTTTCAAAAGCCTTCATGAATGGGGCATCCACAACTTCTGTAGGCAAACTGTTCCACTAGTTAATCATTCTTGCAATTAAGAAAGTTCTCCTTAGTTGAAGTTGCTTCTCTTCTTGATTAGTTTCCATCCATTGTTTCTTGCCTTCTGGTGCTTTGGAAAATAGGTTGATCCCTCATCTTTGTGGTAGCCTCTCAAAGATTGGAACATTCTCTTTAAAAACTTTATTCTTCCTCATACAAGTACCATATTTTTCTTAGCTTTTTCCAGCCTTCACTAGCATTTGAGTCTCCATCTTCCCTTAAAGTGGTAATTGCTAAACACTAATGCTGATTCATAAAGAGGAAGCTCAGTTGCTTAGATTTTACTGTGACTTGTCATTAATAACAACACATGTCTAGAATGTACAATGAGTCTTTGAGTGAAGTTGGGAAGTAGGTTGGCTTGCTTTGTAATTTAATTGACCAGCCTGCTGTAAATATAATCTGAAGACCCTTGGCCGTATAAAATCAATTGTGGTGAGAATCTCTTGGAATGTCTTTGCTGCACGTTTATTCAATAAATACTCTGTCGGGCTGTAGCAGAGGCCGTCCCGGTTACCTCTTCCGAAGACGCCCCGACTCCTTGAACGCGCGTCCTGACGGCCCGACATCCAGCTGATTGGCGGGCATGCACAGGAGCCGCTCCGACAGCCAGCTGGCCTCCCTGGATCTGCACATGCGCAGACGGTGATCTGGATAGTACAGCACATGCGCAGATGGGTGGAAAGGCTAAAATTGCCCAGTACCCATGCGCGGACACCGGGAGGAGGCGAACGACAATAAGTGAAACATTACAGGCTGCCGAAGCATCGGGAAGCCGTCGAAGCGTCGGGAAGCGTTGGGAGGTGGCAGCTGAAGAACAGTACAGTCGGATGGATGGCCATTAGGGGAAAATTGGGCGGTCCGGAAGAGGGTGGTGGTGGATGGGTGGTAGCGTGGGTGTGGGCTAGGCGGGGACTTTGTGAAATGTATAAAGGAACCATGATTGTAATGGTTGTCAGTGCTGACTTTAAATCGTTATTTTGCTGAAATAAATTAGAAGTTCTTCGTTCCTGACGTGGTGGCTCTGTGTCTGTTGGTTGTGAAGTCAAGACGAGGCAACATACTCATTAAAGCCGGAATAACCCTTTAAGTGGTTAATTTCTCTCCCGTTCCCTATTCCAACAGAACTGCTTGTAGTGAAGAGGAAGAGAGGAAGGCCTAAAGGATCAACCAAAAAATGTTACGCTGAAGAAGAATTGGCTGAAAGCACGACCTCTGCTCCAAGTGAAGGTGTTCAACCAGGACCTGAAGAAGGAGGAGAATTGGTGGATGTGTCTGTAGACAACTTGCAATGCCGGAAGTGCAACCGGAAGTTCTCTAATTCTCGACAGCTCAGAAAGCACATCTGTATTCTGGTTAAGCATGAAGACTTGGAAGAAGATGAGGATTCAGGTGAGCAAATGTATTACGGTGCATTCTTCAAGGTGTGGCCTTGTGATTCAAAGACGAGTGAAAAGTAGACACATAGAAAGCTTCATCGTTGGAGTTTTATGGATTAAGTAAGGGAATTCATATGGCCACCCAACTCAGTCCCACTGACTCTGGGTGACTTACAGAAATAAAACCCCTGTACAAAATGTAATAAAGCTTCACTCCCCTGGCAACAAAATCAAACCACCCACTTGATGGGCTTTGTATCCCCCTGGTTCAGAGGCAAAATCATATCTTCAGGGCCTTTTGAAAGAGTGTTTCTACAGAGATGATGTTCTACAGAGAGTGAGCCACCACAGAGAAGGCCCTTCTTCTTGGCTCTTTTATGACTCATGGACTTCAGCTCCCAGAATTCCTGAGCCAGCAGGAATTCTGGGAGTTGAAGTCCACGAGTCATAAAAGAGCCAAGGTTGCCTACCCCTGCAGTAGATGGATCTTTTTAGGAGAAGAGAGCCATAACCTTGCCTCCCTCTCCATTCTGGTAGGTCAGTTAGATATAACTGGAAAAAGACAATCCTTCAAATAATGTGCCCACCCTGGTTTGGAATAGCTGGCCAGCTAATAAGATAAAGGTAAAGGTTTCCCTGTCAGTTGTGTCCAACTCTAGGTCAAGGTGGTCATCTCCATTTCTTGCCCAAGGGAGCTATCATTGTCCAAAGACATTTTCCGTGGTCATGTGGCCAGCATGACTATAAGCCGAAGCTCACAGAACGCTGTTATCTTCTCACCGAAGTGGTACAGTCTACTCACATTTTCATGCTTTCAAACTGCTAAGTGAAAGGTCAACTAATACTTTATGTTTTTTCATTAAGACCTTTTAGTTACAAATAAGTACTAATAAGTTACTAGTAAGTAATATTAGTTACTAATGAGTTACTAATAACTACAGTACAGATGGCTTGATGGTTGTCAGAGCCATCATTCTCCCCCATCTCTCTCTCTCTCTCTCTCTCTCTCTCTCTCTGTGTGTGTGTGTGTGTGTGTGTGTGTAACTTCTTCCAACTCCTTTATTTTTGATTTCACCCCATAAACTGGCCCCATGTTGACACTTATCCCATTTCTATTTCTGTTATTAAGAAGAGCAAATACATCATTGATAAATCAGCATTCCCTCTAAGTTTGGATGAAGTAGGGCTCTCTGATTTGGATTGATTTCTACTAGAGGCTTTGGAGCATGGATGTAATTCCAGTCTCCAGCTGTTTACAGCTGCTTCTTTGCCCAGGATCACATAGCAGCGCAAAGGCAGATGTGTGCTCTGTTCCTGCCTCTGCCTGCTCTTGATTGCTTTTGGGAAATCGGGTCCAAAGCACGGCACAGCCTTAGTATATATAGGTAGTCCTCAACTTATGACCACTGTTGACCCCAACTTTTCTGTTGTTGAGGGAGTTTTGCCCAATTTTATGTCCTTTCTTGCCACAGTTGTTAAGTGAATCACTTCAGTTGATAAATTAGTAACCCGGTTGTTCATTGATTCTGTCTTCCCCGTTGACTTTGTTTGTCAGAAGGTCGTAAAAGGTGAGCACATGACCTTTGGACACAGCAACGGTCGTAAGTATGAACCAGTTGCCAAGCATCTGAATTTTGACCACATGATCATGGGGATGCTGCAAAGGTCACAACTGTGAAAAATGGTCGTTTGTCACTTTTTTCAGGGCTGCCGTGACTTTGAACGGTCACTAAATGAACTGTTGTAAGTCAAGGACTACCTGTATTGGGTCATCTGGCTTTTCCCATTTATGACAGCTAAGAGGCTTTGCCCCTTGTCCCTTCTGAATGCTTCCTAGGAGCAACACGTATAAAGTACATTTACCTCTAACCGGGTTTAGTGCCTTCCCTTTAAAAATAAACATTGTGTTACTGAATTTAGGTGTATCTTGTCCTAAGTCAGTGATGGCGAACCTTTTAGAGACCGAGTGCCCAAACTGCAACGCAAAACCCACTTATTTATCGCCGGGTGCCAGGTGGGTGTGGCCCACTGGGTGGGCGTGGCTGTGGTGGTCATGGCAGACTGGGTGGGTGTGGCCAAGATGGGCATGTTGCTCGTGGGGAGGGATGCCTGTGGGGGCCGGGCAGGGTTGGGGGAGATCCAGGGGTCTCTGGCAGATGGGGCAGTGGGCAAGAGGCTCATTCTGCAGGGTGAGGCAAGGCGAGGCGAGGCAGGGCAGTGGTGCCATTGTCGCAGGGCAAGGCAGGGCAGGGGCCGAGGTGGCTGCTGCCTGACACCATCGTCCCCTGCACACAGAGGCCAGTAAGCGCATTGGGGGCCAACAGTGTCCATCAACAGCCACAGCCTGCCAGCCCCTTGACCGGCGCTCCACCGCCTTCCTCCAGCAGTTCAAAGAAGCCGCCTCTGAGCTGGACTGACTGAGGAGGCGATGCAATGGTTCATGCCTGGGAAAAGGAGAGCATGTGAGGCCAGGAGGGATGGGGGGGGGAGGGAAACCAGCCATGCTGGGATGCATCTGGCCACATGGTACCTCGGTGAGTTAGTGGGCGGCTGGTTGAAGAGGGACAGTTGCCATCTCTGGGGCATGGCACGCGTGCCCACAGAGAGGGCTCTGAGTGCCATAAGTTCGCCACCACTGTCCTAAGTGCTTGTTAAAAACATAAAAAGTCTGAAGTAGTGATTAGGTGGGGGAGCTTTGTGGGGTTTTTTTTTTTTTGGGGGGGGGGGAGTTCCTTTTGTTTGTTTTGTTTTGTTTCAAACACAGGAGGTTTTTCCAATGAGCCGAGGTGGCGCAGCAGTTAGGGTGCAGTACTGCAGGCCACTTTAGCTGACTGTGTTCAGCAGGTCAGCGGTTCAAATCTCACCGGCTCAAGGTTGACTCAGCCTTCCATCCTTCCGGGGTAGGTAAAATGAGGACCCAGATTGTTGGGGGCAATGTAAATATATATATACATTGCTTACTGGTGTACACCGCTTAGAGAGTGCTTGCACTTAAAGCGGTATATAAGTCTCATAAATAAATAAATAAATAAATAAATAAATAAATAAATAAATAAAAAGGAGTTTCTCCTTTGCTAAGAGAATCAACATCTCTATTCAGTAAAACAAAAGGGGAAACTGCTCATTTGACAAAAGCAAACACATCATTCCATGTAGGATGGGAAGTTATTATTTTTTTCTTCTCTCCATCCCAACAAAAATGTTTTTGGCAAGGGGACTGGAGCTTGGAAAGAACTGATGTAAAAGGCCTCTGGATTCTGTCCACGAGTAAGATAATTTGGTGTGTGGGGGAGGGTGTGGGTGGGGAAGCTGACAAAACAAAGACCAAGAGTGAAAGTGGGCCAGACCCTAGCTAGTAATTGTGGAGAAACAAACAAAGAGACAGACAAAAAAGCCAGACAAGAAAGATATCCCTGAAGCAGAGATGATCCAGAAGTAGCTTGGAAGGTTGTTGAATGCCAAACTCTAAAATCCTCCTCTTTCCCACCCCCCTGTCCACATGTTTCAGAACAGGGCCCACCCACTGCCTTCCATTGCACTCATAACACAAATACCTGATACCTATCTATCACCTGGTGATACACAGAAGTATCACTAGGTGAGATGCAATAAAAGAATTTGAGCAGCCGTAGTGCTTTCCTATACGGAGTTTGGTGCCAACCCTGGATTCGCCTAGTGTTCTGCATGGAAGAGCATGCAAAACACCGGACGTTTAGTGATTGAACCCTCATAATGCCTCGCTAGTGCTTTATGACTAAATTCATATGGTAGAAATATCATCATACAGGTTTGGTTTTTGAAATTCTTTTCCACCTCTTTCTCAGCAGTGGCTATAGGAGATTGTGCATTTGCTTCTGGATAACAAGCACAAGCACACTATAGAACATGCATTAATATTTACTTCCTTGTTTTCGATTCACAACTTCATTAACCTTGTGAACTCTCAAGCTTCCTCCTTCCGTTATATATTCAAGATGGACAGTATTTAATATTTATTTGCTACATATATGTAGGGATATGGGTCTATACATATTTTGTTCATAGTATGTTTAGGTGTGTGTCATGTATGTGTTTCACTTTGAGAGCGGGCAACTAAATTTCATTTTTGATGTGTGCCGTTGCGCCCACAGTAAAAAAATGACAATAAAGGTTATCTTATCTTATCTACAACTGTAACAGAATCTGTCCATTATGCTTGTAAGTCATGGTGGTCATTAAGCAAGGTACCCACCAGACCACTTTGCTTAATGACCACTATCCATATTCTCCCAGTTGTGGTCATGAAGCAGAGCACAGAGGATCTATTGCAAGCCCAGGATCACACACACACTATATATGTAGAAATAGTAATATAATGTAATATAATAAAATAATACAGTACAATACAATATAATACAATTATATATAATCAGGAGTGATTACAGAGAGACATCACTACATAAATTACCCAAGGATTGAATTTTTGTATAAGAAACCATCATGTCCAACCTATAATTCCCTAGCAACATTGAGAACATGGATGTGTTTACAGTCTGGCCAGGCAATTTAAATCTCTTTTCAAAATGCACTGCTTCAATTTTTCCCTAATACTTGACAATGATGCCTATGGTTGGCAATCCAATTATAGTCAGTGCCCGGGGGATTTCTACCTCACTACTCCAAAATTAATTTGGAATATTAAATGTGAACTTTCGCTGTTGCATTAACTCTCAAGGTGAACATTTAAAACTTACGCTTGGGACTTGAATTTGCTTTGGGGTTCTTTTTATCAGTGTTTCAGCAGGACTGGTGCGTGTCTGAACAGGAAATATATTTGCACGTAAGATAACATATAGAATGGATCCAATATAAGAACTAATGGGTGAGGCCAGTACATACCTATATGTCTACTGTATTTGCATCGTTTCTTAAGTACGAGCTCACTCCTAATTGTGGTCACACACAGCTTTCCTTCATAAGATTTTTTTATTATTATTATTATTAGACCTCCAATATAGTCTTCCTTTGAACATA